TCATTATCATATTTAGAATTATGCATCAGATAGTTATACTAGGATAAATAATTTACTTTTTGCAAAAACCTGTGGTTTATTTGGGGGGTTTGGGAAACCAGACTCCACAGGGCAGCATTTATTTAGTTGAGTCAGAATTTAGGGTATAAACAGTTTTGTTAATTTCCATGTGTTTCTTCTTGTTTGCCTTTTACTAACTACTACTAGAATATTATTGAGATTTTCACAAATAATTAAACTATGCTGCAGTTTATTCCGTAGATTGTTTTGTTTGACTGCAACATAACCTGGACATGTCAAAAACTTATGCCTTTATTCTCAGGATCCTGCAGTGATGGAAATTTAAACATTACAGTACTTTACATATCATTTAGTAATTAGCTATAAGTCTCTGACCAACAGGTATTATGGAATATAGTTTTTAGATTTTTAAGCAGTCCTGTTTACTTGTAAGGCAACATGATTTTGAGGAATGTTAGAAAAGGGCTATCACTAGATGGCAGCCTTTCTCTACCTTAAAGTATTTGTTATAAGAGGAAAAAAAGGCACAGTTTGTTCAACTGCAATGTTGACTACCAATATTAGATTAGCTTCAGTAGTAGATTTCTGACCTTTTCAGTGTTTAAGTCTTGTTTATTTTTGTTTTTAGCCTTTTATAGCTGATGGATACATTGGTAGTTATGCTTAAATGTGCTTGAAATGCTGATCATGGTGAACTGTTAAGTAGTGATCAGTTCATAATTGCCTTTTCCTTTGGTAGACAATTTGAAGAAAAACCTTTTAATTAGTGGTTTTTAACTGCTTTGATAACCAGATGGAAACTACGGGAAACTTTTCTCCTAATCATGCTTATATGTACATCTGCCTGTGTGTAGAAAATCTACATAGGATCTGGGAATCATGGATTTCCTGAAACATATGCATAGAACACAAAGTCTCTTAAACGTAGTCTATATCCTCTGTTTTAAATATGGTTGTTTTATATTTTATTGTTATTATTATTATTTAATTCTCAAAATACTCTGGGGATCCACTGCAAACCTTTCATGTTATTCTGCATTATAATTAAAGAGAACATGACAATCATAATGGTCCTAAGATAGGAGTAACAGATGGTGAGTAGTGATAAGGAGGTAGAAACTTTATTAACTTGTGGTGTTTTTTGTTTTGTTTTTTAAAGAGATAGGGTCTCCTGTTGACCAGGCTGGTTTTGAGCACCTGGCCTCAAGCAATTCCTCTATCTTGGCCTCCCAAAGTGCTGGGATTACGGGTGGGCATGGGCCACTACCCCCAGCCCATTAACTTGTTTTGAACTACTGCCTGTTTATACTATTCTGCAAATGTATAATCTTAGCATTATTAAGTAAATTTGAAAGTGGAGGTGAATTGTAGATACTTAAAGCTAAGCTAGTACTTTTAAGAGAATTGTAATTGATTGCTTCCTATTTTCTAAATGAGAAAGCTGAGGATCAGAGAGATTAACTGGATTGGCCAAAGACTTATAGCAAGCTAATTACAGTGCTAAGATGAAGGCTACATAGTCAGGCAGCTAAAATCCACATTTCCTTTCTTAGGTTTTTGATTTTTTTTTTTTTTAAATGGGAAGATCGGAGAGCCTAGGAAGGCATTATTAATACAAGTTCTGAATTTCTTTAGAGATTGTCCTTTGTGATGTTAATGTAGATCTCTAGAGTGAAGAAATGAAAAGAAGTTTTACCCAGTAGAAGGAACTACACTTGCTACCTAACTTAGAAGTATTACTGAGTTAGGGTGTACTGAATTTGAAACCAAGAGGTTGTCTAATATTGAATAATATGTCAGCTTATGCAGTTTATATTGAGGAATTTTCAGTGATTCTTCCCTTCCCCAAGTGTCAAGGTAAATGGGTATGTTTACATGGAAACATTTCTTTTCCTTTCCTTTGAAAAGGGGAAAAGTTAAGCTTATTTGAGATTACTTGAAATGTCAGTGGTAGATTCTGTTAGGTATTCTAAACAGCTTTTTCAGGCAAGTGGTTATTCTACAGTTTTCCTGCTTGTCAAAGCAGGGATCGTTTATAATTTATTTGACAATCTCCCTTTATTTCAAAGGAAGGAGAATGAATTCAGATTGCTCTGCCTTTTCTGAAGTATGTGTTCAGAATCTTGACTGGAAGCCAAACATGGCTTCCAGTTGCTTAGCAGAGAGGATATGTTCTGAAAAATGTGTCATTAGGTGATTTTGTTGTGGTGTGAACATCATAGAATGTACTTACACAAGCCTAGGTGGTATGTAGCCTACTACACACCTAGGCTGTATGGTATAGCCTATTGCTACTAGGCTGCAAACCTGTTTGGTATGTTGCTGTACTTAATACTGTAGGCAATTATAACATACTGGTATTTGTATATCTAAATATAGAAAAGGTAATATGTTGCACTACAACATTACAAAGGCTGTGACTTCACTGCATAATACATTGGGACCACCATTGTATATGTGGTCCATCGTTTGGTTGGTCTATGGTTACTGCTGAGTTTTGGGTGGTATAACTGATCTTCTGAGGGGAGTGTGGTTTCTGATCCATAGGATCAGGGTAGTGATCCAGTACCCAGAAAGGATTATAGAACCAGGAAACATCGGCAATGAGCAAATGGGTGTTTCTTGAACAAATGTCAGCAATCAAAGAGTCCTTAGAGATAGTGTTAGTCATTCTTTAGTCGATGAATGTTTACTTATTGTCTACTCCTTGTCTGGCACTGTTATAGAGGTACAGTAGTGAATATGGCAGACAGAATTCTTGCCCTTGAGCTTATAATCTAGTTGAGGTGGGTTGTGGGGAGGCAGAGATAAACAACATATCATGGATGATGAGGAGGAAGAGATTGTTCAAAGGTATAGGGGATGAACATTATTAGTATAAGAACTGCAAAAACAAAATTCTTGAGGCAGAGGTTTTAAAAAAGGCTAGGGTAGCTGGAACAAAGATGATGGAAGGGAATTTGGGTGGGAACTAGAGAGAGGAGAGAAATTAATTAGCTTAGAGAGACAATGTGAGGTTAGATTATGTAGGGCCTTACAGGCAACGATAAAGATTCAAGGTTTTTATTCTTTTATAAAGATAAGCCATTGGAGAGATTTAAGCAGGGGGATAACAGCTGAATTACTGCTTTAAAATGATCATTTTCATTACTGTGTGGAGTGTCTGTTTTGGGGCAAGGGGTAGAGTAGATAGAAAGTGCAGAATGGAGACTGTCAGGAAGCTGTTGCATTGGTCTAGTGTGGTGATAATATAGATTTAGACTCGTGTTTCAGTGGAAATGGTGGAACATGGTAAATTTTAAGACATGTTTCAGAGGTTGAGTTGTCAGGACTTATTAATGTATTGGTTAGGTTATATGATGGAAAAAGGGAGAGAGATAGATTAGGAGTCAATCCCAGATTTTTGGCTTGGGCAACTGTATAGCGCTGTTAGCTGTAATAGGGTGGGTAGGTGGTTGGGAAACTTAAGGAGGAACAGGTATGGGAGTGGAGATAGGTTAGTAATACTTTTTTTTTCCTATGTAAATACTGAGATGGCTTTAGTAAACTCAATTGGAGTTAAATAGTAGCTGGATGTTTGAGTCTAGTGCTCAGGGAAATGCTCTGAATTATAGGTATAGATTAAGAAATCAGCACTATGTGGATGATATTTTAAATCCATGGAATCAGAAGGCTTTGCTTGATGAGAGAGCATAGGTACAGAATAGAAGAGGTCTTAGGAATGCTTAGGAATGTAGTAGAGGAGGAGCTAAGAATGGAGAGTGAGAAGGCACATAAGTAGAGGTTAAGAAAGATGTTAGTGTGGTATCATTGAAGTGTACAGGAGAGAGTGTTTAAAGGAGGAGAAAATATAAAACCATATTAAATGCTGCTATTAGGTGGAGTGAAATGAATACTTTAGTAAGATAAAGAAGTAAGGAAGTGGAAGGGAGTTTTGCTGGGAAAGGAAGAGGGATGTGTAGTTAAGAGCAGTTTTTAAAAGTCGTGTATAGACTGTGCATGGTGGCTCATGCTTGTAATCTCAGCACTTTGGGAGGCAAAGGTGTGAGGATTGTCCAAGGCCAGGAGTTCAAGATCAATGTGGCCAACATATTGAGACTTCATCTTTTATTAAAAAATAAAAAAAATTATGTTTAAATAAAAGTTATGTTTATATACCCATGAGAATCATCTAATAGTGAGGGAAAAATATATGATACAGAGGAGGGATAAAAGGGAAAACTTGCAGGAATAAAATTCTTGAGATAACAAGAGGAACTGAATAAGAGCTTGGAACATTTATTTTACCGTTACTAGAGGGTGGGGAGTAGGAGTTACAGATGTAAAGTAGACTGATTGATTTTAATGAGGGAAGAGGAGGTAGTTCTCTGTGTCTATTTTTTTTTCTGTAAAGTATATAGTCAGATCAGCAGCTGAGAGTGTAGGTATGAACATTCGAGGGGAGGACAAGGTAAGGTTCCCACACATATATATTGTAAAGAACGCAAAGTGGTTTTTCTGTGATGGGAGATGGGGGATAGTTGTAGTAGGATTATCCAGTGATATTGACTGCCTAATTTAGATTTGTAGTTACATGGCTATCCATAGCCAGCACAGCTGTATGTTTTTTTCTCCAGCTGCGTTCAACTTCTTTAATATAGTCATGGAACAACTGGATAGCTGAATTTAACTAAAATTGAGCTTTTCTAGACTAGTCAAATTGAGAAAGAAAGGTACAAGGGAGTTGTAATTCAGTCCTTTAATTTTGTGATGAATACTGTCAGGCACTCAAATATTTTGGAATGAATAAGAAAGCAAAATTTTGGATTTTCCTTAAAAATACTCATTTAACAATGAGGCACTGTTAATACACAATTGGGTTATCTTGTGGCTTATGTGCCCTAAGTATCTAAAAAACAAATTTGCTTCTGGGTTTGTAATTCTGATTCTCCTTCTTAGAAGTAACTGTGGTATAATCTTCATGTCATTTTTTTTCAAAGGTCTGTCTATGATGGTGAGGAACATGGACGTTTCATGGAGAAGCTTGAAACTCGTATCCGTAATCATGACCGAGAAATTGAGAAAATGTGCAACTTTCATTACCAGGGCTTTGTGGACTCTATAACTGAACTGCTAAAAGTGAGAGGAGAAGCCCAGAAACTCAAAGTAAGAAGGCTCTAAGAGGCACTGTTTCTCTGTCCTGTTTTGGGGTTTTGACTAGGATTAAAGGATTAAGGATTATAACACAGAACACATATTTGTAGTGAAGATTTTTGTACAATCAGAAAGGAATTTATACTGAAATGCATATTCTTGAGATTATGGCTTTTTAGCCTAAAAGAATACACTTTTAAAGTTGTATTTTAATTGGGATAACTACCTGTGGACCGGAGCTGATCAGTAGCTAATTCTTTTAAACAAACTCAGTTTGGCTCTTCATGTTTCTGTTTCCTTGGTGGATAAAAGTTATCACTATAGAATGACAGGATGTCAAGGCATTGCTATAAAATTCTTTGTAGCATGCCACCTAGGCCAAAATAAAAACCAGTGGTTGTTGTAGAGGGTCTTCTACCAAAGAATGAAGATTATTTCTTGATGTGACAGATTAAGGTTCATTAAGGAGGCTAGGCACATGGTCTGGACCCTGGCATAGCAAAGTCACTTATCTTAGATAACTCACTTTTCTTGTTGATCTTAAATCTAACTACCTTCACTAAGCTCTTCTGTTATTGCTAATGATCTATATGTAATTTGAGTTTTTTATGTAAACACTCCTCATATGATCTGTAATAATAGTTTTATTTTCTTCTTTCAAGTCCTTATGCTTTTAATTCTTTTTCTTATTGAAATTTGAATTAAAATCCTAAAAGGATTTACCTTGGCATGGGGTTAACTTGACAGTGAGTGTAAAATTCATTTTAAAAATACATTGATAAGAAAGCAAAGAAACAGTTTTACTGAAGGGCAAAGTGGGCAGTCAGACATTATATTGTATTCTAAAGCTATAATACTTTAAAAGTTCAATTGATTGTACAACATGACCTAAATCACTATGAAACGACCAAATTTCTTATTTAGCATGAATTTTTGTCTTTTGCTGATAAATATTAATATGTTTGATTATGTGGTGCTATCCTAGTCCCCATTGGGTATGGGTATTATGTAGTATACAATATATACCTTAATATGTTTATAAAATCTCCAAAATTCTTAAGTTTAAACAGATTAGGTCCTAAGGCTTTAAAAAAAATTTATGGACCTGTACAACAGTATCCAGCCATCTTAAGAAATAGTGTATTGCCAGCACAATTAAATCTCTCATTTGTACCCCCTCAGTTGCTTTCGTTACTCGAGAGGTAACAAGTCTTTTGATTTATTGTTAATGTTCTTTAATGCTTAGTTATTTTCATTTAAAGTAAGTTAGGTTTTTTTCCTTATTCAACATACCAAAATTAATTTCAGAGGAACTAAAGAGTTAAATGTAAAAAATAAAACCATAAAAGAACTAGTAGAAAATGTAGGTGAATATTTGTATTATTTCAAAACATTTCTAAACAAAATTTCTAAACCAGAAAGAAAAAAGTGGACAGATGTGACAACATTTAAGAAGAAAGAACTTATTCTACCTACAAATTGAAACTTAAAAGGCAAATAATAAAAAGTATTTACAAACACATATGGCAAATTGTTGATATCCTTATATATGAAGATTCTTAATAAAATAGGAAAAATGTGAACATTCTCATGGAAAACTGAGAAATACACAACAACATGCAGTTTACATAAGAAGAAATATAAAGGAATTCTACAATTTAGAAAAAATTAAAGGAGTGCAAATTTAAACAATAAGATGTGAATCCTTAAATCCCCACATAGTTTTAGGATTTATTCTAAGGCTGTAGGTGCATGTACAAGGATGTTCATGTGATGGTTTCTTTTAAAAGGTTTCTTTTAAAATGATGTTCCTAACATCATTTAATAGAGAGTTACCAAAAGAAATTATAGTACATCTATTTGAAAGAGCAATAAACTTCAGTAGAGTATAGAGGATATTTACCATGGGAAAGTATAAGAGGTGTTTGTTTAATGTATAAAGCTGATTAAAAACTATGAACAGTTTTTTCTTTTTATAAATGAAATGCACATACTTTACATGCAAATAAATAAGCATTAAAGAAGATTGGAATAGGGTATAACAAAATGGGTTATCAATAATCCCTTGATAATAAATAATTTTAATGTTTTCATTCTTGTGCCTTATGCCTCAGCCTCCCAAGTAGCTAGGACTACAGATGTGTACCACCATGCCTGGCCAATTTTCGTAGTTTTAGTAGAAAAGGAGTTTTGCCATGTTGGCCAGGCTGATCTCGAACTCCTGTCCTCAAGTGATCTGCCCATCTCAGCCACCCAAAGTGTTGGTATTACAGGCATGAGCCACCATGCCTGGCCATATTAAAGAATCTTTATAGTGCTTCCTTCTATTTATTGGTCCATACATTTGTAATTCTTAAATTTCATCAGCTGATCAGCCTCAGCTGGACAAAAGTATCTGAAATGCTTTTCTTTGTATTTTAAGTTTCCGGCAGTTTCAACTGACAATTTTAACTCTTCATTGGAAAACTCAGTGTTACAGTGTACACGTTAAAACAAAATTTTCATTCAATATAGGAAAATGATAAGGTGAAATCCATGTTAAAAAAACAAGGAAGACATAAAAGGAAGGAGATGATGAAGAAGGGGCAGACTGCAGAGATGCTTATGAGATACAGTATCTCATCTATTTGGAACAGAGCCCATGATGCTCAGGTTTCTGGTTTGGGTGAAAATAAAGTATTAACTACCAAGTAGTTGGTAGTTCTAGTCATTCATATGGGGAATGAAATGGAGAGGGCCAGAATCTCATGACTAGTTTGAATCCTCTCCCTAAAAAATGTATCCTTGCAGGAGAACATGAGAGTGTAAATTGAGAGCAGTTTCTCATGACTTCATAGAGAAGCCCATAGAGTGATTCCTCTAGGGCATGCTTTCCAACCCTTTTCTTGTCACAGCATACATAGAAAGTGATATTTGAATGGCAGGCACCTAAGAATAAACTAGAGGGGTTTTGGGAGAATATGGGACTTGTTTTTTAAAAAAAATTTTTACATTTTCTTTATGTATTATAATAAGAATAAAATACAGAATATTAGGATATATTAAAAAATATGTAAATGTTCTAAACAAATATTTTCATCATTTTAAAATGAGAAACTTGAACTTGATACCATGAAATAACCTTTTTTTTGGGACAGAGTCTTGCTCTGTTGCCTAGGCTGGAGTGCAGTGGTATGATCTTGGCTCACTGTAACCTCTGCCTCCCAGGTTAAAGCAATTCTCCTGCCTCAGACTCCTAAATACAGGCGTGCCACCATGCCCGGCTAATTTTTGTATTTTTAGTAGAGTGGGGGTTTTGCCATTTAACCAGGCTGGTCTGGAACTCCTCAGCCTGGGAGTTCTGCCTACCTCAGCCTTTCAAAGCTCTGGGCATACAGGCATGAGCCACTGCACCTGGTCTGATAACTTTTTAAATAATTTAGTTTTCTGCTTAAAATGACTATATGCCATGCAAATGTAATCAAGACTTTAAAAATGATAACCTCTTTGAATTTCTCATAGACACTATTCAAGAGAACCTCTTATTTTATGTAGAGGATACAAAACATTGTTATTCCTGTATCTATTAAAAAAGTGATCCTCTGAAATTATACTAAAGAATTTTTTTTTTTTTTTTGAGATGGAGTTTCGCTCTTGTTACCCAGGCTGGAGTGGTGCGATCTCGGCTCACCGCAACCTTGCCTCCTGGGTTCAGGCAATTCTCCTGCCTCAGCCTCCTGAGTAGCTGGGATTACAGGCACATGCCACCATGCCCAGCTAATTTTTTTTTTTTTTTTTTTTGAGGCGGAGTTTCGCTCTTGTTACCCAGGCTGGAGTGCAATGGCGCGATCTCGGCTCACCGCAACCTCCGCCTCCTGGGTTCAGGCAATTCTCCTGCCTCAGCCTCCTGAGTAGCTGGGATTACAGGCACGTGCCACCATGCCCAGCTAATTTTTTGTACTTTTAGTAGAGATGGGGTTTCACCATGTTGACCAGGATGGTCTCAATCTCTTGACCTCGTGATCCACTTGCCTCGGCCTCCCAAAGTGCTGGGATTTACAGGCGTGAGCCACCGCGCCCAGCCTAGAATTTTTTTTTAATTTTGAGACAGAGTCTCACTCTGTCACCTGGGCTGGAGTGAGGTGGCACAATCTTGGCTCATTGCAACTTCTGCCTCCTGGGTTCAAGCTATTCTTATGCCTTGTGCCTCAGCCTCCCAAGTAGCTAGGACTACAGGCGTGTATCACCATGCCTAGCCAACTTTTGTGTTTTTAGTAGAAATGGGGTTTCGCCATGTTGGCCAGGCTGGTCTTGAACTCCTGTCCTCAAGTGATCTGCCTGTCTCAGCCTTCCTAAGTGTTAGTATTATCGGCATGAGTCACCATGCCTGGCCATATTGAAGAATCTCAATAGTGCTTCTTTCTATTTACTGGTTCATACATTTGTAATTCTTAAATTTTGTGGGAGGATCAACCTCAGCTAGACAAAAGTATCTGAAATGCATGAAAATAAACATATGGGGTTTCCTGGCATGACCTGTGCATGCTATTTGTCCTCACCCAGCCATCCCTTCTTCCTCTACTCATCTTGGGCTATTCTTTTCTATGCTTCTTGGACACCTGTGTCCCATACTTCTCCCGTAGCTCCTTGGTGCCCTGTTCCATGAATGTCAGCACAATGTTTTGCATCTGGTTATTGGAGTAGTCGTGTGGTGGAATACCTCCTTGGCGGGGTAGTACTGAATATAGCTCATAATGCTCCTGAAATGCTGTTATCACTTGCTGGTTGGTACTCATCTTCTTTTCCTCTTACTTCCCTTGCCTTCCATCACATTTCTTCAAGTTGCAAGTTCCTTCAACTTGCTGAGGATGCCCCAGCAGGAATTCCTGAACTGGAGGCTACTATTTTAGGGTTTTAGTCTGTTTTAGGCTCTACCCAGACACTTTGAGGCAGAGGAGATTAATGTCTAGTAGCACACCTGGGAGACTCTGCTCTAGGGGCATCCATTTGGCCCAGGTTCAGAACCTATGAAATAAAAAGTTTCCTGAACTCTAGAAAATAGTTTACAAAATGTAAAAAGTTAATGCTATTTTAACATACCAATGAAAAGAAACTATACTCCAAGATGCCCATTATTTCTTTTGATTCTCAGTGTATACACACACACACACACACACACATATCTTCTTTGAATCAAACAAAGTAGTGTCCTAGACTCCTAGACATATATCTAGTATAGTTTCTTTTCATTGTTTTTTTTTTTTTAATTTTTTGAGACAGAGTGATGCTCTGTCACCCAGGCTGGAGTGCAGTGGCATGATCTCAGCTCACTGCAGCCTCCAACTCCTGGGTGCAAATGATTCTCCTACCTCAGCCTCCTAAGTAGCTGGGACTACAGGTGCATGCCACCACACCCAGCTAATTTTTGTATTTTTAGTAGAGATGGGGTTTCACCATGTTGGCCAGGCTGGTCTCGAACTTCTGACTTCAAACGATCCACTGCCTCAGCCTCCCAGAGTGCTGGATTACAGGTGTGAGCCACTGCACCTGGCCTCTTTATTGTTGCGCATTGAAGTAGTTATTGAATGGTATTGACATTGTTATTATCTTTCTTTTTTTAAATTTTTATTTATTTTTTTGAGATAGTGTTTTACTCTTTTGCCCAGGCTAGAATGAAATGGCAAGATCTCAGCTCACTGCAATCTTTGCCTCCACTGAGTTCAAGTGATTCTCCTGCCTCAGCCTCCTAGGTAGCTGGGATTACAGGTGCCTGTGACCACGCCTGGCTAATTTTTGTATTTTTATTAGAGATGGGGTTTTACCATGTTGGCCAGGCTGGTCTCAAACTCCTGGCTTCAGGTGATCCACCCGACTCGACCTCTGAAGGTGTTAGGATTACAGGTATGAGCCGCCACACCCGACCGGCAGTTATTATCTTTCTTTCTGGAAGCACTGGTTAGGTTCCTAGGGATATGTTTTAGAACCATGGTTTGCATGAAATTAATTTAGTGCGCCTTGCTCAGTATTTTTAAGAAAAACTGAAATTAAATACATGTACTAAGGATAAATATTATTTCTTGAAAATTGTGTGTGTTTATTCCCTATATTTGTATACTGAATTGCAATGTATTTTTTACAGTGAGTTTAAGGTGAAAAAAAAGTGAGAAATGGTGCCTTCATAAGACAAACAAGGCTACTCTAGTAGAGACAATGATACTGAATTTAGGAGTATTTATGGAGGGTTGAATTTTAGGACATCTTTAGTTTAGGATAAAAAATACCTAGTTTATTGTTGAATAACTACTGTAATGGGGATAGCATTATCACCCAAGGCTACCCATATGATTTTTTATTCACATTGCTTGAACACTTTTTCTTATATTGGGCTGAATACTGTTTTCTGGTAACAAACACTGGTTTGGGTGATAGTCTTCATTTTTAGGGAACCACTTTACTTCCAACAGTTGTTCAGATATTTGAAGGGCAGCCATTGTTTAAATATGGCTTATAGTATACAGGGTCCAGCTATAGTGTACAGTGTCTTCAAGTGAATATTTTTCCCTCTCTTGGCTAAAAATTCCTTCATCTGTTTTTTATGTGGTATAGCTTTGACTCCCTCTCCAAATCTATTCACCTCTAATCATGCTTCAGCTTGTAAGGCCCTTCTTAAAACGTGGCATCCAACTGTAAGTTTTATAGTGTGGTATTACGACCTTACCATCTCCTTTATTCTAGACCAGGGGTTAGTAAACTCTGTCTCTTAGGCCAAATCCAGCTTGCCTCCTGTTTGTATAAATAAAGTTTTATTGGAACACAGCCACGACCCTTTATTTACATTTATTTTCTTTATGGCTGCATTCCTGCTATGGAGGTAGAGTTGAATAGTTACAACGGAGACTGTATGGCTTACGGAGACTGTATGGCTTGCAAAGCCTAAAATATTTACTATCTGGCCCTTTATGGAAACAAATTGCTGACCCCCTTTTAGATAATGCTTCCATTAACATTGTCTTAGAGGTACATTTCAGACAGTTCGTCACTCTTAATTTGTATTGAGCTCAGTGTTTCACATGTGGTGCTATTAAGTAAATAATAAAGAGGGAATTTGCTGGTTTCTTGCCTCCCTTTCTGGTACTTTATAGAGGCTTCCTGGAGGACTTCAGATTTCATTTTGTCTTTAGAAGGGGGTTCATATGGTAATCTGCTTTGAATGATAGTCCAGGAATAGAGTATATAGTTCAGAACAGTGATTTCAAAAATGTGCTTTTTAAAAAACTAGGTACTTGAGAAGATCTTCAGTTAAAGGGTATTATGTAAGATAAATTTGGAAAACATCCTATTGATATCCCTTTCTTGGGCATTTACAGTGCATGTCATTGTGTGTGTGTGCCTGTGTGCTTGCATGTGCATGGCTGTGTGCATGTGCAGAGTACCTGCCAACTAACATTTCTTGATGTCCTAAGGAACATAATAGGAAATGCTAGGTTAGGGGATGCATTAAAAGTATAAGGAGTGGCAATTATTGGTGGAAGGCTAGAAAGCCTTTGTTAAACATTTTAGAAGTTAACATTGCTTATGTTTTGATATCACAGATGATGAGGAAATTACTATTCTGTATAATTAATTTTTTCCATCATTGAAATGTCAAAAGTGGGTATCAAAAGAAGTAGATGCTATTTCCTTTAAATATGAACTCTGGATCATTTAAAGGCTTATTCACAAATTTTTGACTATCAGATGGAGAGATTATATTGGAAATTTGGAAATATGGAAGTGTTAGGAGCTGTTGAGAATTAATGAACCAAAAAAACTTAAGGTAAAGCATCTTCTGAAATTAAGATTACAAGCAAACAGAAAAACTTTGACTTGAGTTAAAAAGTTTGATGTATACCCAACTTTTCCAGGAATACATTGGTGATAATGAGAAAAATCTATGATACAATTTGTTCTATTTTGTTTTTCTCTTCTCTTTTTCCTTTTGTCTCCCCAAAATTAAAGTGTGATCTTTAGTTATTATAGTATTTTAGTTTAGAAATGTTCTAAACTCACCATATTTGTCAGTAAATTTTTCTTTTCAAAAGGTCATGCAAACATCCAGGATAAGAGTTGACATAATTTAAACTCAAGAGAATGCCACTGGACCAATATGTAGTGGAATACTGAAAATATCTAACTACCTATTCTCAATCTTTTCATATTAAATTTAGATATTTTTCAACTATTGTCTAAATATTTGTTTTTTTATGAGTTTAAATTGTCTTCTCTCCACAGAATCAAGTGACGGATACTAATAGAAAACTACAACATGAGGGAAAGGAAGTAAGACCAGTTTACCTTCTGAAGAAATCTTTTCTGTTTCATGCCATTCTCTTTTAATGACTATGTTGTTCATTTAGTGGTTAAGACTGTAAGTAGTATGTTGGAAGTATTTGGACATAATTGTTGCTTTTCCAAATGTTTATCTGAATTAATTTACCATAGTCACTGGAAAGCCTAAGGAGAGAGGATACAGCCTTCTGAGTTGTGTTTTTAAATCACTGACTAGTCATATTACAGTAATGCTGTGCCTCTGCCTAGAATGTTATTTCCTCAATATTGACCTTCTTCAAATCTTTGCTCAAATGTTGCCTTCTTTTTTTTTTTTTTTTTGAGACAGAGTTTCACTCTTGTTACCCAGGCTGGAGTGCAATGGCGCGATCTCGGCTCATCACAACCTCCGCCTCCTGGGTTCAGGCAATTCTCCTGCCTCAGCCTCCCAAGTAGCTGGGATTACAGGCACGTGCCACCATGCCCAGCTAATTTTTTAAAAAATATTTTTAATACAGATGGGGTTTCACCATGTTGACCAGGATGGTCTCGGTCTCTTGACCTCGTGATCCACCCGCCTCGGCCTCCCAAAGTGCTGGGATTACAGGCGTGAGCCACCGTACCCGGCCCAAATGTTGCCTTCTTAATGAGACCTTTCCTGACCACCTTATTTGAAGTTGTCTCATTCTTACCTGTGCATTCTTTTGATCCTTTCCCACTTTTTCTTCATTTTGCCTGTCATGCTCTGATATTACATTTAATGTATTTTGACATATATATGTGTGTGTATATGTGTGTGCGTGTGTGTGTGTGTATCTGTCAACTTCCATTGGAAATTAAACTCCACGAGATTAGGAATTTTTGCTTGCTTTATTCATTGCTGTATCCCCTCCATCTACCTAAATAGTGAATGACAATGTGGATGCTCAACAAATAGTTGTTTAAAAAGTTAATCCACCAGGCGCGTAATCACAGTGTTTTGGGAGGCTGAGGTGGGAGGATCACTTGAGGCCAGGAGTTTGAGACCAGCTTGGGCAACATAGTGAGACTGCATCTCTACCCTCCCACCCCCCTAAAAAGGAAATTGTAACCCAGTGTGGTAGTGCATGCCCATAGTCCCAGCTACTTGGGAGACTGAGGTGGGAGGATCTCTTAAGTCCAGGAGCTTGAGGTTGCATTAAACCATGATTGCACCACTGCACTCTCAGCCTAGGTGACAGAGGGTGACCTTATCTCTATCCCTCCACCATGAAAAAAAAAATCATTGATTCTGTTAATTGACATATTTATCATTTGAACCATCACAGTTTACAATATTATTTTACATCCACTTGTCATTTCATCCTCATAGCCAACAAGATCAGGACAGGTATTATGACTGTTTTATTGATGAGGAAACTTAAACGATTTGCTAAATTTTACATAGTAATTGGCAAGGCTGGGACTAAAACCCAGGCTTTCTGACTTATAGTACCTAACTGTTCTCTGTTATCATGTTCCTTTGTTATCACCTAATACTTTTTAAATGTATTTTGATTGTTTCATCAATGACTTTTAGATTAGCTTTTGATTGTTTTATCAATGACTCAATCAGGACCATTCTCTTGTTCTTTTTTGCATGGTATCTAAGCAGATTACAGTATTTTTAAGGTATGGGTATGGGATAAATGCTGCAAGTAGATGTGTAGATCATTACTTTTTAAAGAAGTTTGCCTCACATTCTAAATTCTGCAGAGTACAATTTCTTCTAGTTACGTTATGGTAGACTTCAGATAGAAAGAATAAAAGTGATTTTCACTACACTGTTAACTCTTAGAAAAGCCACATCTTTTTTTTTGAAACGGAGTTTCGCTCTTGTTACCCAGGCTGGAGTGTAATGGTGCGATCTCGGCTCACCGCAACCTCTGCCTCCTGGGTTCAGGCAATTCTCCTGCCTCAGCCTCTTGACCTGTGATCCATCCGCCTCGGCCTCCCAAAGTGCTGGGATTACAGGCTTGAGCCACCGCGCCCGGCCTGAAAAGCCACATCTTTTAAGTGTGTGGTTTATTTGTTGAAATAGAGATTTAGTTGAAGACTGTTGTTTTCTTCTGGATAGCCCTTGTATTTTAGGACTTCATTTTACTTAGCTCTTCCTAGTATCGTATGTATCTTGGGGAGAAAGTGGGAAAATGTGCAGGAATGTTTTACTGGTTAGGAAAGGCAGCACCTTAGTTCACTTGGCAGGTCTTACTGTGAAACTGTCTGGGATTTTCTGATGAATTGAACATAGTGTGGAAAAATGTGACTGAAAACTTTTTATTTACAGCCTTTGGCATAATTCAGTCTTTTTCCCTCTTGCTAAGCTGGTAATAGCAATGGAAGAGCTGAAGCAGTGTCGACTACAACAGAGAAATATTTCTGCCACTGTTGATAAATTAATGCTGTGTCTTCCAGGTGAGGAACTGGAAATGGAGAAGGCTTCTTGGTGTAATTTTTTAGCTTTAATTAGGCTTTCTCTAAATCATGTTGTGTATTCTTTTCTCTCTTTTAAGTCCTAGAGATGTACAGCAAACTGAGGGACCAGATGAAAACTAAACGGTAAGATTTTTTTTTTAATCAAACAGTTTTTACTTTATAAAATTTCTGTTATTTAGAATACTTTAAGGTCCATATTTAGCATAACTTTTGAAAAAATAATTAAGTCTCTGACATCTTCTTGACCTTTTATGTATTTATTGATTCATTTTAGATTTATTTATATGTAGTAGTGGTATGCTAATGTGTTCCATCATGTGTTATGTTTAATAAATCATACTTTTAGTTAGATTTTTAAAAGACCCAGTCTTCTAGGAAAAAGCATATACCTATTTTAATGATAGTTGGTTTGAGATGTGTTTTGATTTATTTAATAGTGTTGCAGAAAAAAATAGTACTGGTTTTGGTGTAAGAGTGCATTAGCTGGGGTTCCTCAGAAACAGAACCAGTAGCATGTTTGTGTGTGTGTGTGTATATGTGTGCGTGCATACGTGCATGTGTGTGCATGTATCTCTGTTTACCTACTGGAGAGGGAAGTATTTATTTTAAGGAATTGGTTAACATGATTGTGGAGTACAGCAAAAGCTGCAGTGTAGGTGGGCAAGCTAGAGTCCCAGTGAAGAGTTAAGATTATAGCTTAAGTCCAGAGGGACTCTTCTGTATAATTCCCTCTTCCTTGGGCACTGTTAGCCTTTTTCCTATTAAGGTTTTCACCTGTGGTGGAATGAGGCCTATTCACATTTATGGAGGGTAATCATCTTTACTCCTAGTCTGTAACTTAAATGTTAATCTCATCTAAAAAATACCATCACAGAAACATCTAGAATAATATTTGACCAAATATCTGGGTCCTATGGCCCCCCAAGTTGCCACAAAAAAGTAACTATCATCAAGGGGAAGGGTACGGTTAAATTCAGAGGATTTCTTTACTTTATGTTGTTTTCTTCTAGAGGAAAATCTACAGTGACTTTATAGTTCTGCTCCCCAAACTGGAATAAGCATCTCCAACCTCTCTGCCCTGACATACCCTGAAGTATGTTGGGGATATATGAAGCTATAGGATAAATGGAGCCTATGTTTCTGGAATGTTGGTTTTACCTAGGTTTTTAGGCAAAAAGTAGACAATTGAAATGTATTTAATATTGAGATAAGAATAGAAATATTATGAGCTGGGCATAGTGGCTCACGCCTATAATTCCAGCACTTTGGGAGGCCAAGGCAGGCGGATCACCTGAGGTCAAGAGTTCAAGACCAGCCTGGCCAATATGGTGAAACCCCATCTCTACTAAAAATACAAAAATTAGCTGGGTGTGGTGGTGCATACCTGAAATCCCAGATACTCAGGAGACTGAGACAGGAGAATTGCTTGAACATGTGAGGCAGAGGTTGCAGTGAGCCAAGGTCATGCTACTGCACTCCACTGCAGCCTAGGTAACATAGCGAGACTCCATCTCAAAAAAAAAACAAAAAAAAAAAAAACAAAAAAAAAGAAAGAAAAAGAAATATTATGGATAAAGAATTTTGAAGCTGAATCATTAGACATTAAATTTTTTGTTTCTTCTGGTCATTTCCAAGATTTCCTTCTCTCCAGGAGGACATGCTCTTATAAGAGAACATGGTTAGAACACCATGAGAAGTTCTGTCTGAGATGTGAAAGTAGTATTAGTGCCCTAATAACATTTTAGTAAAGTTCTAAAATTATAGAGAATTTAAGAATCACCTGTGAGCCAGGTGCAGTGGCTCACACCTATAATCCCAGAAGTTTGGGAGGCTGAGGCAGGCAGATCACTTGAGGCTAAGAGTTCGAGATCTGCCGGGCCAATATGGCAAAACCCCATCTCTACTAAAAAACAAAAAAAGGAGCCGGGCATGGTGGTGCACACCTGTAATTCTAGGTACTTAGGAGGTTGAGGCATGAGAATTGGCTCACACGATAGCTTGAATTTGGGAGGCAGAGTTTGTGATGAGCTGAGATAGCATAATTGTACTCCAGCCTGGGTGACAGAGTGATATTGTCTAAAAAAAAAAAAATCACCTTCTCAGAATTAACAGATATTAACAGTTTTCCAGTTTTAATTCATATATATGTAAAGAAAAATAGTATATATATATATATAAAGTATATATGGATAGAAAGAGGTATATTTATACACACACACAAACACACACACACAGACTTTAAAAAATTACAGATAAAATTTATGTTCCCTTCTTCAGTCTTATTCCTTTCCTTACTCCTCTGAGGAAACCAGTATCATAAATTTATTGAATGTTTTTCTAGGCTCTGCTTTTAATATTTATAAATCATATATTGTTTTGTTTTGTGTTTAAAAAGTTTATGTTGATGATTCTTAGTCCTCATTTTGGGATCTGCGTATTCACTCAACAAAGATGAATTGAGTACCTACTATGCGCTAGATATTGCTCTTGGTGCTGGGGATATAGCTATGAATGAAACAGATAAAAATATCCACCCTTTGGGGCTCGCATACTAGTAGACAGCTTATTTCTTTATGTGTATAGATACAGTTTGCTCATTTTAATCACCCTATGGTAGTCTATTATATAAATAATTCACTTTTCCCCTGCCAGTTCTAGTGCTGTTCACCAATATTTCTGGCTACTTCCTTTGGCACAAGGTAGTATTGTATTTCCTGGGTTCCTTGTATGTATTTACTGGATTCCCAGTTCTGTGTGACTTTTTCTGGCTGATAAGATGTGAGCAAAAGTGGTATGTGTCACTTTGGGCTTAGCATTTAATTTCTCTCCAGAGTTCTCTTATTTTCCCTTATTCTTGAAAACCGGCAACTCCAAGATGCTGGCTGAGTTCCTGAGTAACTTCAGGGAGCAGAGCCTACCTGCCAACCTGTTATGAATATATAACATGAGTAAGTTTTAAATCTTTGTTTTAAGTCCCTGAGATTTTTGGGGTGGTTATTGCTACAAGATAACTATCCTGACTGATACTATTAGGGACATTTAGTATGTTTCCAGTAGTAATGATAGACAGTGGTGCAATAAATATCCCTATTCTTGTCTCCTTGGGCTCATATTCAAAATTTCCTGACAGTGTTGTTCTTCTGATGTTGTCATGCATGCAAATGATATCATGGGGATTTGTTAAATATAGATTCTGATTGAATAGGTCTGGCTGGGTCATTCCTGAGATGCTGCACTTTCTGTCATGCTCCCAGGTCATGCCAATTTATTGGTCTAGGGTCTATACCTAGAAGGAGATCAGCTGGATCAAAGAAAAGGTTTACATGTCTTTGATCTTTTTCTTGTTCTCTATGGTGATTTCCCCATTCATCCTACCATTGGTATTTTGTGGGAAGTCCTGTTACTCTACCTCCTGGTAACATCTATATTGTCAAACTTTTTTTGATTTTTTACTAGTCTGATTGTGAAGTGATAGATCACTATGGTGATTTTTATTTTATTTTTATTAGAATATTAGTGAATTTAGGTTTTAGGCATTTGGGTTTTCTCTCATCTACTTGCTGCCTGCTTTTAGGTTATTTTATTTTTCATTTAAAGGAATTATATACTTTGGACGCCTTTTCCTGTTATATATTGTCTTCCAATGCATGGTTTATCTATTAACATTATATAATTAGTAGTTTTTATTGTATAGTAGTTTTCAGTGTTGATGTAATCAAATTTATTTTTTGGGTTTCAAAAAATTTTATTTTTAGGCATTCCTTAAGTTCAGTATAAATACGTGTCTTTTTCTTGAACCAGCTAAAGAAGGTTGCTAACGTGACACACCGTCGTCCCCAATTACTTTAGTGGGGTTGCCTACAGATAAAGACATTATTCTAGGCAACCACAGTGCAACAGAGAATGGACATAAGCTTTGATATATTTCTAGCACCTAATCAGCATACCCAATTCAAGTTTTTCTAATTGTCTCAGTCATGTTCTTTCTAGCAAAAGGATCCAGTTCAAATCACATGTTGCTTTTAGTTGTCATGTCTCTTTAGTCTTTTTCAGTTCTAGAACTGTCCTCATCCTTTCCTTGCCTTTCATGACCCTTATTACTTTTGAAGATTACATGCCAGTTATTCTGTATCTTGTATTATTTAAAAAGCTCTCATCTAACAATCTCTGTTTTTAATTTAGACTGTTTATATCTTTTACATTTCATACAATTATCAACATATGGGCTTAAATCTACTGTCTTCTAATACATTTTCCATTTATCCTACCTGTTCTTTGTTCCTTCTCTGTATTCCTGTCTTTTAAAAAAATCAATTTCTATATTTTAGAATGTTGTTTTATATTTAGTAATGCGCTATTATTTATACCTCTTTGTTTACAATTTTTTCTTGTTCTCCTCAACGTATTGGTTACAGGACCCCTGGGGGTCTGTAGACGCTTAAGTGCCTTATATAAATTGGCATGGTATTTGCATATAAGCTACACACATCCTTCTAATACTTTCAGTCATCTCTAGATTGCTTAGAATACCTAATACAATATAAATGCTATGTAAGTAGTTGTTACACTGTTTTGTTTTATTCATTTAAAAAAATTTATTATTATTATTATTTTGATTGTACTTTGGGCTCTGGGGTACATGTGCACATCCTGCATCATGCAGGATTGTTGCATAAGTACATAGACGCCACATCTCCCCATTCCCAACCGTCACCTACTTCAGGCATTTCTCCCGGTGTTATCCCTCCCCATCCTCCCTGCCCCTGCTGTCCCTTCCCTCCCCTCCCCTTTCCTCCACCTCCCCAGCTAGCTCAGTGAGTGTTGTTCCCTTCCCTGTGCCCAAGTGTTCTCATTTTCATCACACACCTATGAGTGAAAACATGCGGTGTTTGGTTTTCTGTTCTTGTGTCAATTTGCTAAGAATTATGGTTTCTAGATTCATCCAGGTCTCTACAAAGGACACGAGCTTGTCGTTTTTTATGGCTGCATAGTATTTCATGTGTATATGTGCCACATTTTCTTTGTCCACTCATTGATGGGCATTTGGGTTGATTTCAGGTCTTTGCTATCATAAACAGTGCCTCAATGAACATACCTGTGCATTTGTCTTTATAATAGAACTT